CCAGTGCATGAGTGGGTTAGAGTGTTTTGGCAGTAGTAAGAGATAAGTCTTCAGTGAATCAATTAGACCTGAAGGAGGTTTTATGTTTGTTGGTGATTGTTAGAGACTAATGTTGGTTAATTCTTCTCAGGGTGCTACTGGTGACAATTCATTCTAATAAATTCCAGTGGGCTGCTCAGGTTAATGAGTGAGTCGTAGAATTCTGCATCGTGGGCTGCTTAGGTGATTGAGTGAGTCGTAGAATTCTGCATAGTCGGCTGCTCAGGTAATTGAGTAAGTCCTAGTGGGGCTGCTCAGCTGATCAAGTCATAGCTGAGCTGCTCAGGTGATTGGTTTATGATAATCACCTATTTGGTACTTGTACTAGAGCAGGGTACAGTACCAGTACTGGTAAGGATCCAGGAAATCATTCAATAGGCTCGTATTGAGTGCTGGATTAGATACTAAAAAGGTCTTATCTGGCAGCCAGCCTTTTCAAATAGGACGGGGAGGAGTGTGGTGGTCACTGACCTAACTGAAATATAGTGGTGTTTGACCTTGGTGAGATGGGACGTCCCAGTATTCCCTCAGTCCACATCCTGGTTTCCTGTTGAATGGACAAGCAATAAACTGCTCAGATTAATCTATCCGATTACATCCGTGTGTCAAAGTATCCAAAGAACTTGAACATCTATGTAAGTTTGTTATACCATTATAGATTTACTATAAAACTACATACATGTGACAAATGAAATGGGCCAAATCTGGATTTTCAGCTGGATTTTGAGGCTCAAAACTGGATTTTTTATCGACTCGATTCAATGCGTGTTTGGCACATTTGGTTCAAAGAATCTATATTACCCTCAAAATCATTAAATGATTATACTTTTTATGATTTTTTTGTTGATCAATATTAATTTATTTCACAAAAAAAAATAAAAAAAAAATAGATAAATAAATAAGTGTAGTCATACAGGCTATTTATAAAACAGTCACACTCACATTTCATTATTTTCAGATTGAAGAATTATATATCTTTTCAGTCATTCAATAATTAAACACAAGCTATTTGAAAATGTGCAACAACTATTCATCATACATGTACATAAGACTATGACAGTAAAATAATGTAACATAAGTAGAAGACTCAAAATAAATGCAAGAATCGTTCTGTTAATTAAATCCACATTTTTGCCTCGATGATTGTGTAATTCCTAAACAAAACAAAAATTACCCACTCACTAAAAATAGGTTAATTAGACATCTCGAACAGGTTTTTGAATGATCCACTTTAAATGATTCTGCTCACCTTTTATCTTTATCAGTGCGGCACTAATCAAAGAAAATCAAAGGTTGAGCCGAATTCATACATGTAAATTTACAGGGTAGTTTTGATGACGTAGCGTGTAATACCTACTGCCAAATTACAAAAGAGGTCAATTAACTGACACACAACACGTGATAAGTTAAACATGTGAGAATAACTTTGGGTATTGGAACTGTTTATTACGTCACCTTGCTGTCAATTAGCGACTCAACATTTAATCCGCTATAATTTAGGATATGGACAGATAACAATCAATGCCCGGAGGCACGGTTTACATTTTAGATACAGGTGCTGTGTTTGATTTTTTATGTTGATTTTTTTTAAATATCGGGAATTCAAGCTGTAATATTGGGAATCGGGATCAGTGTTGAAATATCGGGATTTTTTTAAATCCCGCCGGGATGTCACATGTATGAAACTATAACAAGCCTGAAACGTCTAATATATTGGACTAGGGGGCCGAGTACGTTTCAGGGCCAAGCTGACCCTCAAGCATATGGCTTATCTGACACAGCCGCAGAACTTATGCACAACTACCTGTCAAATAGAAAACAAAGGGTTAAGCTTGGTAAAGCATGCAGTGACTGGATGTCAATAAGTAAGGGAGTTCCCGAGGGATCCATTCTAGGGCCTCTTTTTTAACACTTTTAACGACACTTTTTTTATTAAAATTAGCCATGTGTACAATTTATGCTGATGACAACACATTATCTTACTGTTGATACCAATATTGACTCTTTACAATCTATACTGGAAAAAATGAAAGTTTATCTATAATAAAATGGGTTTGTTGATAATAATCTAATGCAAGCCAATCCGGACAAATTTCAGGCAATTTGTATTGGAAAACAAACAACTAGTAAATTAACCTCTTTTTGTCTTAATAGTACAGAAATTGTCTGTGAAAAAAGCGTGAAACTTCTTGGTGTTGAAATAAACTCTTTACTAAATTTTGACTTACATGTATCTAACATTTGCAAAAAGGCTGCAAAACAAATCAAACATTCTTGCTAGACTGAGTAAATTCTTAAATCAAAATACTAGATTGTTAATCTACAAATCCTTTGTTCGTCCAAATTTTAACTATTGTCCTTTAGTTTGGCATTTTTGTAGTAAACAAAATACTGAAAAACTTGAAAAGTTACAACATAGATCATTGAAGATAGTTTTTTGAGGATTACAGCTCATCATATGAATTTCTTTTAAGTAAAGCTAATAGCCAACTTTACATATCAGTAGATTAAGACAATTAGCTATTGAAGTTTTTAAATGTTTGCAAAATATATCACCAAAATATGTTCAAGAACTAATTAAAGTAAATTCCTCTTATTACTCTTTTAGAAATAACAACACACTTGAAGTTCCTAGAGTAAATACAGAGACTTATGGTAAGAAAAGCTTTCGCTATGAGGCCACCCAGGTCTGGAATAGCCTCCCGAATGAACTAAGAACAGAAACTGATTACGGTGAATTTCGGAGGCTTATCCAAACCTGGAGTGGCTTCAAATGCAAATTGTTCTATGTGTGCCTAAGTGTTATGTTTTTTGTTGAGTTTTGAAATGTGAATCAAATGAATCTGCATGCTTCTTTTGTTTCTTCTTTTTGTTTTTCCTGTATTTCTGTCTGCCATAGAGTAATGCTGTATAAGACCTGTTTTATCATGTAATGCTTTTCATGTGCTTCTTGTGTGTATATTTGTATAGTCATTTGTCAGTGCATGTTAGTGTTTGTATATGTGACAGCTGCTGATCAGCTTTTCATATATCCCATAAAGGGGACAATAGCTTCTTTAAGTCTATTTTTACCGTTTTATTTCTACCTTTATTTTATTTTTGTTCTAATTAATTAAGTAATTAACTTAGACCATGAATTTATCTAGGCCAACTCAGATCAGCATCTGTACAGTTACACAAACATTTCAACATTTTAAGTTTTATTATTATTATGATACTTGTACTGGTTGGGGACCACCAAAACCGGACAACCACCAAACCCGGACGGCCCCGAAAATGCTTAATTTAGTATTTTCTTTGATCAGTGGTTGTCAGTCACTTTTTTATCAACAATAAGTGCATGTTTCTTTTAAAATTAAGTAAATGAATTAATTTCAACCTCCGTAAATGGTAATATTTTAATGTCTATTTCAAGAATGTTAACGTTGAAATTTGGGGGTCAAGAAAGCAATTCCTGACCTCATTAACCAGCTATAATCATTTGCAGAGTGAATAATAGAATATCCAAAACTTCAGCATTTGTTGCTGACATATTGTATATCATGTTACAAATCAAAAGTCAAAACACCCAGGCTTTTATCTGAATTAAAATCACACCATGTACATATCTGTCCGGACACATGGTACTGTAGTGTAGACAATTTAGGTAATTTTGATACCCTCCTTGTCGAGCCTCAGAAATAAGTGTCAATACAATCAGAAATAAAACAAACTAGTTTATTAGTAAGGAGAAGAACCTAGCTGAACTGTGTCAAAGTTTTTGGTCTCTAGATTAAAAATTATGAAATCTATACGGAAAAATGTTCCAAAAGTGTCCGGTTGATGGTCTCCGACCAGTACATGTTTTAGTTAAACCCATTAGTTTCATGACTGAGTACATATCAGATGCTGCTACTGATATGTGCTCAAGCATCATACTGGAAATTAGGTTAACTATATTTAAATAAAATAAAATTGAATCATTTACTTTAATTTATTTTAAAAATTTAAATTTTTAAAAAATTCTAATCCTTTTTCTAATTTTAGGGTTGTGTACATAAATAGAACTCTTGTATGATGTAATTTTATGTGATGTTTGATTGTAATGTATATTTGCTTTTAATCATTTAATGCTTTCTTACCCATATTTATATGTGCTGATAAATCTTAACTGTTTTACAGAGTCTTTCATAAATGTACATTGATCTTCTTAATACTTTTATATATTTTCTTTTACATCTACATCTACATTGTACGTCGGCGCAATCACACTTGATTATGACGCGACGGGTGGTGCTAGGTCAAGAAAAAGAAATATACAAGAAATGATAGAAAGTAAGAAGAGGTTGGATAGTACAAAGATAGAGATATAGACAAAAAGTATGGCCAGCTATATTTCGCCTCTTCAACCCAAACCTCTCCGGTTACGGTGGCCGCTGCCGGCACAGCCTTGGATATCACTAGTGGGTACTTGTAGCTGGGCCCCTAAGGCGACTTAGAATGTGAGGGCTGATAGCCCCTGCTTGAAGGATACCAAGTCAGGAGCCTCTGCAACGGAGGCAGGTAAGCTGTACAGATTTTATACAGATTGTTTGTTTGAATTGTTATAGGATAATAAGTTTTGTCGGAAAATAGCTTATATAGCTAATGTTTATATGTTTTTATGGAACCGACTTTAAATAAAGATTATCTTATCTTTATCTTATCTTATCCTGACCGGGACTCGAACCCGGGACCCTCGGAATACCGTTCGGAATGTCCTATCCGCCGGCTTACAGTTACACATCTTCTCACCTATTTAGTGACCAGTTCTGAACCGCTTTAAAAATATTCTTCTTTCAACAGTGTTGTGAAATAGTTTCATTTTATTGTTTCGAGACGCCGGGACATAATGTTATTGACTTTTCGTATTTAACGCAGTTAAATTGTTTTATAATAATCATCAATACAGAGTTTTACAAATTAAAAAAGTTTCTTAATACCATTGACCATGTCACCGGCCATTTTTATACTTGGTGACAACAATATCTTCTGCCGGAGTGGGTTCATCTTCTTTTTCTGCCATCTTGAAAAATTCACGTGTTCCAGAATTCCGTTGCGCTGGGCGGGGAACAAGAAGAACATAAACGGGAGATAACTATGAGAACGTACAACGACAGGTGCACGTTATTTTATCTCATGAAATCAAAGGGCTGCAAGCTCTGCGGTATTTTCTGATCTTTGCAATCTATATGTATTTTCCTGTAAAAGTTTATTTTAATATACTATAATTCATATTACAGGGCACCGAGATGCAAGCTACTACGTTTAGATTTTTTACTATAACAGTTTGAGCAGGGCCTTTCAAAATAGGAGTTTGAGTTAAAATACATATATACGGAACTTTGCATGACTACAGTAGAGTTGCATAAAAAAAAATCATTTATGTTAATTTTTATGAAAAGCCACACTTTATCCTTGCGTATCGTGGCTACTTCCTTAAAAAGGCGCTAAAAAAATAGTTGCCTCAACTGGGATTTGAACCCCAGACCTTTCACGCCCTAAACGAGCGCGTTACCCCTGCACCACGAAGAAAGCCTCAATAGAAGCAAAATAATTCTAAATTTTGAATTTCCATTCTTGGGTTTGTAATCCGGGGTATTTTGTCCTGAAAATAATTTAGCAAAAATCTTCTCGACAAAACAGACCGACATGTTATATAATGTATATTCCACTACTCGACAGTCAGATTTATTAATGTACAGTTACGCTCTGAAGTATTCGTTAATCTACATGTACATCGCTAAAAATAGCAGTTTCATTGATTAAAATGATATTCATCAGGGTAATTTGTGATTTTGTGCATTTATTTGACAATTCTACTTAAGCCAAAGCCTACTTTAAACTTTGAATGCTCAAAGGCGGCTTAATTCTCACCAAGACAATATTTTAAACGAAATATCTCAAGAGTACGAAGCATCGATCCTAATGGTACCAATTTATTGTACATTTTTTAACAGAATTTTGACATTGGCATTTTGCCAGATTCATGGTTACTTGGAACCATTTAAACCCATATATAAAAAAGGATCATCCCTTAACCTGAAAATTTCAGATCTATTACTATTATTAGCTGTTTTAGAGGTAAAGTTTTACTGCTATCCTTAATGACCGATTGACAGCATTCTTAAAGTACAAATAAAGATACAGTAGATAGATACTGTATTGACGTATACATTCAGTACATAGTCATTTCACACACATTTGTATATAGTACAATTTTTAACATAATATCATGGTACATGAACAAAGTTGTAGCACAACATATTCAATTTACATGTTTTTGTAGAATGAGCGTTAGCAGCATTTAGTACTAAAGTAAGCTTAGCTATTATAAAGCGTTTATATTTTTAAATATAAAGAAAGTGGATTTTAGTCTTAATCATATGTTGTGATAGGATTCCATTTAACAAAGTTTCATAATAGACACATAAAAAATATCACTCTTAAATATAACGAGACAAATTTATACATTGATTTACAGAGCATTTCGTGATTCAATGCGATGCTTAGTAGCATAATACAAATATTTACCTAAACCTATTAATTCAGACTTTTTCAGTACTTAATAATTCAATCAATGTGAACATACTTGGTCTTCTGTAGTAGTATTGCGTTATGTAAAGAGACCATATATTAGAGTAACTATTACATACACAATGGAATTCATCTTCCCTATATCCATTACTATTTGCGAAAATCCCTGAATAATGCGTTCCTCTCGGGGTTTATTCTAATTAGCCCCATAACTACCCTGTTTTATGTGACCTAATCTAAATCTTTAATATGCAATTTTCTTAATCTTTTTTTTTCAGTTTTGTTATGGAGAATTTTTTTCAGGTAAGTTTGCCTTTTCAAAATGAGTTATACAAATGTACAATATACATTGTAGCTTTGAAAGTTTTTTGCAAACAAAGCAGTCAATCATCCTTTGTTTTAAAAAGTTTAACAAACTATTTGGCTTCGTATTGAAATGGGTTGTTCCAAAAACATCAGAAAAACCCGTACCTCCGCTCATTTAATGTTCTATATACTTTAGAAGCCCAACATTGATTGTTCCAAATGAAGCGTACATTAGGCCTAGTTTTCAAAATGATACTATCGCTATTTAATTATTTTAAGCCCGGTATGTAATAATTTACATATATGGTTTAATAAATTATGGGATAAGGACCTAATTCGCTATAAAGATTGCTCTGCCGTACAAGTACTTTTTTGTTTCACTCCTAATATAGATATACAGAATATAAGATGTAATCGCTCTATATCCTTTGATTTAGAAAATCCCCAAACAGCACTAGAATAGCTGAGAACTGAACCAACAAACGAGTCAGAAAGCTGTAACGCAATGCTAGGGGTTAACTCATATTTATTGATGTTGTTTTATAAAACAGACATTGTCTTGAGTTTTGGCAAGAATAGCCATATCGTTAGCAAAAAGCAAAATGATTAAACACAAATCGAATAATGAAATACCACTATCAATGTTTTCTTGTAGAAAAAGTTCAGAATCCTTTAAAAACAGAGAAAATAAAATTGGCGAATTTTTTAGGCCCTGTTTCAAACCCGGCGAAATATCGGAAAAAAAATAGTGTTACAATGTTTTTTACAACATGACCTTCCACAGTTAGCGGTACATTGCTTTTTAATATTCTAAGTTTTTTTTTCCATCTAAACCAACCTTACAGAGCTTAAACCATAAAGCATTTCTGTACACAGAATCAAAGGCCTTCTTTAGGTCTATAAAAGCGCAATAAAGGCGTAACCTTTGCAATACTTCTCACTTCCCCTCGGAGCGTGCACGTCGCTGAGAAGGCACAGGGCATCGGCAGGAAAGATTTAACAAACTTGACTGGTAGACAACTTTAAATTTTTTGCCTTCAAACCCGTGGGCGGTAACTAAACCGGAATTCCCCTTACTTTCGTCCAACTTTGGCGGAAAACCCTGCCGATGTCCCTGACAATGCCGAGGGGAGTTTGGCCCTACCAAAAGTAGGCTGAGACGACCGAGGATGGTGGTTACTAGGGTGCGTGAAGCCCCTAGTAAGATAGACGGCTTTGTAAGGCAGGCCTATTAGCTGGCCACCAACAGGCCCTTTTCAGGGCTAAAAAAAACCCTTTCCTATTGTCCACAGGTTACTGTACATTTAGGTTCTCATTGAACCGCCGTTACAAGTGACCTACTTTTCGGCTCAAAATTCATATCTTTGGCCCTTAATTCTCCGTGGGAAAATTGGGCTATTGGAGGTAAATTATTCACCATTTTGTGCCTTCAAAATTAACTCTTTAAAAGGACCATGACTGGCTGACCATGTCCGGGGTCCCGTACTCGACCAGCGCAAGCTTGCATTTTGTGCCCAAAAGGGCGGAATGGACCCTCATTAAGCTTTTTAACTTACATACATACAACCTTTTCAATAAAAATATTCGATTTAAGAATTTAAAACGAAAATCGCGTCGACTGCACTTGCACCGTGACGAAACCGAACTAAGCACCCGAAGATATTTAAAATTGACTTGGCCAATTTTAAACACGCTTTGTTAAAACACTAGTAAACAATTTTCCAAAGTTACTACATTTTGTATTAAGTGTTATTCCTCTGTAGTTATTGGGAGCATTTTTGTCCCCCATTTTATAAAATGGGACGATATAACCATATGACCAGGCTTTTTTAGTAAATTATCAACAGGACATGAGGATTTATTACGATTCGTAGGACTTATTGCTTCATGAGCTTCTTCTGTGGTAATTTGGGATATTTAACGACTCAAACGTGGGATTATTTACGTTAAAATCATTATTACGTACAAAGTTATCGATTCCTTCTATTTGTGTCGCATGTAATTCATTAAACATATTTGAAAAATACTCATGAAATTCTGCTGGCGTAATATTGCTTGTATTATCTTTTTTATTTTGTTTAAAATGTTTCCAGAAGTCCCGGGGTTTCTTATGTCGTAAATCACTTAGTTCTTGAGACTTACGTAACTAAAATGCCCTTTTCTTTTCTCTTATCAATGATTTATACTTGCATTTAGCAATACATAATACTTACACTCACACTCAATGAGTAAATCCAATATAATTGCCGTATGGTCAAGACAGTCCTCAAACTTTCTGTAAAGTGGTATTCAGATCATAGAGTAAGTGTCGAGTAATCTCAGAAAAGTTGAGCATCTGTGAGATTAGGAGGGGGCTACCTTGAGGTGTCCTCAATAAAATGATACATACTGAATACCACTTAGTTTTGAGTATTGATTTTGAATTAAGTTCGTCCCATATACATTAAAGTGCATCATATACGCGAACTGACAGTACTTTAGAGGAAATAAATGTTGAAAAACAGATACTAAGGAATAGAGATGACCCCATTAAATTTATGTCAGAAGTTGAATTTTTATCAGAAATTTGATTTTCAAAGGTGTGTGCACATTTTATACTTGGAATGATACAAGTAGTATGAACTATTAGGAGTGTATTCAGCTCGCGGTATACCAGTACTTATGCCAAAAAGAAATGAATTTATACAATTTCAAGTTGGAAATTTTTTGAATTTCGTTTTATTCATAACAGCTGGTCCTTTGTTTGTCAATGTGACTGTCCATGATTCTGGACTCAAGTCCTCGGAAGATTTGTCGTATGCGTCTGTAATATATTAATGTTTTTAATAAATGCAGCTTAGTTATAAGTTTTTATTATTTTGTTTATGAAATATTAAAAATAACAGTTAGATACAAGTTATATCACACTCCCAAACAAAAAAAGATAGGAATGAATCAGTATAATAAATGATAAACAAATTTACCATTTATTCCCAATTTATTATAGATGGAAATGACATGCAAATGAGCCAATGCATTATGAATAAATTGTTAATAAATCAGTGAAATGAATTGGTAATGAATTGGGTCCATTTACCAACTTATTATAAATTGTTAATAAATTAGGTTAACAAATGGGTTTAATGAATTTGGTCCTTTTCTTGACTTAGTCAATGAATTATCAAAAAATCAAAAGGGCAAACAAATTGGGGAATAAAA